AGTTAATCTTACGGGCCGTTTGGTTAGGGGTACGTATTCAACAAAGGGAAAGGGAATCAACTACCATGAATCCCTTTGTTGATGTTTGATACGCAAATTCAATCATCCATTTACCCCTCCCATTACCCCATTTTCCTCTACTTTCATTCCCCACCCCACCCCACCCCCCACCCCCTACCCCCTAAGGGAATCACTCTAACCCCCAAATTCCTCTTCACCCAACTACCTTGACCAACTTTCTAACTAACTTGACCACCCTTGAAACACCAACTGCCCACCAACATCACCGACATCACCGACCAACCACCACCAGAACCACTGCCGAGCCACCAAAAAATCGTCGACACACTGATGCCACCACCGAAACTACCCAAAACGATCCAACCACCACCAAAACCACCCAAATGCACCGGAAAATAAACCATCTTCCCCCAAACTACCCAACTCCACTCGAAATAACCCTCACCCACCACGTATTACCCACGAAATCACCACAACCACCACGAAAACCACCAAAAAAAATCCTAACCATCTTAATAGAAAAACCCATAACCACCCCATAAACAACCCCCAAACACCCAAAAAACAACACATAACACTCTATTAACAAACAACCTACTAGATCTACCAAAAGATTACTTAAAAAAGGGATAGAAGAGGGAGGATATCGACATATAGCAATGGAGTCGGTGCGGCAGTAGACGAGGGAGGGGTGGAGTTGTTGCAGGAGAAGGAGAGTAGGTCGCCAGCAGGTAGGGGTGGAGGCTGACAAAGGGGAGTGGGGGAGCTCGGCGCCTCTGGAGGGGAAGGAGGCTGGAGTTGGTTGTTGGCTGTGTAGGTGGTACTTCAAAATTGATTCCATTCTTTTGCAGTAAAACAAACAACCTATGATAAATGAGGGAGTTGCTTTCCATTCTCCCTTTTTTCCTTTATTTTAATCATTTCCTTTCCCCTTTGCGAACCAAACGATCCCTTAATATTTATGTTTATCTTCTTGATATACGTATTTTTGTGCCACATTATTAAAAAAAAAACATTTATTACTGAAATATAAAAAAAATTTACTCCGTATTACATTATAACAGAATTAACAGGAGATATGTTCGCAAGTTTATTTCAGATATAAACTTCTCAAGCTTTTTCGAGGACATATTAAGGATGTTAGTAAATTGTACTAATTGAGCAAGCTTAGTGGGGAACTCAGGGGGGATTCTCTTACCTTCCTCACTCTACTCTCAATTGTTGACCTGCATAGCTAAACTGGCTTAACCTGTGAGAGGTGTTAGTGGGTAAAATATGAGTGGGGGATAGGCAAGAGCAACCGCAGCAGTTGAGTTTCAACAACCTTCTTGCAATCAATGATAACTTGTAGCTACATAAGCTTACTAGTGAGGGAAGCATGCACTTAGTAGCTTTGTGTAACCACATTAATTGCTTGCTAGTGCAATGTAATTTCACATTGTTTAATGGATGTGTTGGCATATTTGTTTGTGGCAATTTGCTGGCAAGTGGATAATTAATACAACTTTGCTTTCATGCTCTCACATAAAGTCTTTGCTTTGGCATGCAAAGCATGCTACTAATTTTGGTTTTACAAAAACTTATTATTGATATTTAAGAAAAAATAGTTAAAAAAAACAAATTTAAGAAAAAATCATAATTAAAATTTAAACATCGTAATTAAAATTTAAACAGGTAAATATTTTTACCGTCGTATAATGAAAATATTATTTTTCGTTGTGATGATAAATTTAATTTGCAAAGTAATTAAAGAGTATTAGTAGGAATATGGATATTATTTGGGGTCTACAAAAAAAAAGGTTCTTGCTATCCAATGTAGAGACTGTAGCTAAAATTAGATGTAGTTTGAGATATATGACGTGGCACAGCTAGCTACAAGAGTTGTAGCAAGCTGTTGCCTGTTGTGGATGATCTAATCACATGTCAAATATATATGAGACTTGGCAAGAATAGTCATATTGAGTTTAGCTTTGGCGAGTGCCGGGTGGTGGGGTATGTGGGGATATTTTAAGCAACATGTGTTTGTGTTAAATATAGAGGGGGGAAATAAGGAAGCATGTGATGAGGAAAAAGATAAAAAGAAAAAATAACATTTGTTACATGACTTGCATAATTGCATCTAATATGTAGCTTCATTTTACAGTAACTATTGCAAATATAATGTAACGAAGATAGTAGATAAGATTGAATAAAAGTTTGTTTATTGTGATAATACTTACTAATGCCTGCAAATAGTAAGTGAATGATGAATATACTCCAACTCTCATTCCTTCCCTCACTCATCCTCTCTAACTTTCTCTCTCTTCCATCGTCCATCATAGTCTGGCGTTAGTGGCCACACAACCACTAGTCCATCATTTGTCGCCACCAAGCGCCAGCCCATACCTAACTCCTCGACCTCCACATTGTTTCCCACAACCACCAGACAACCTACCACCAACAACAATGAAGGTTTTTCTTTATTTTAAATCAAGGGTCGCCAGATTTTAATGATCCCACCTCTGTGGTGGCGCTGAGAAAAATTAGGTGATGATGTTCCAAACTGCCGCCTGATTTTCTCGGCACCACTAAAGAGCACCAAGAAAACCAGGCAACACCCCTTGGTTGCCTGGTTAAAATCAGGCGGGCAGCGAGGAGTATTTTTGTATATAATTGATGGAAGATTTGAGATTTTTTGGTGCTTTAGAGGAGAGAGAAAACGCAAAGGAGAGAGAAAGTTCGAGATGAGTTTTTATTTATTTTGTATTTAAAGAGCCACAAGGGCGAGTGATGAGAATCGATCTCAAGATCAAATGGAACAGGAAGGAAGCTTTAACCAGTTGAGTGAGGGAAGGAATGAAATTGGGTATTTTCGTCATTCACTTACTATTTGCAGGTGGCCGAAAGTAAACCACGCACGGGCGTCGTTTAGCAATTCATCAATTTAATTAAGGTTAAATAAGATATTTATATAACATTGGTATAAAAACAGTGAATTAGGGAAAAAAATTATTAAATAAAAAAGTTTGTAGCCATGTGGTTCACTTTTTACACTAAAAGAGATCAAGTTCTGCAATACTGTTCCTTTTATACGTAGTATTTGGTTAATTGTTGAGAAATAATTTAGTTAATTATTGCAAAGTGGTTTCTCGATTCTCTTGATCTCTTCATTGATATTTTATAAGGTGGTCTAGCTGACTGTTTGGAAGGAGAATATTGTGCACATACCAAAACATTTTTCGTCTTTTCGTGTTGCTACACTTTCGAAGAAAAGAAAATAGGAAAAACTTGTCGACTTTATACATCCTTTATTTCTTTTTAGTTACATCACTTTCCTAAAATAGAAGTTTTAAATTAGTTGCATCACTTTCCTTTTTAGAGCAAATCCATTGGTTTCCCAAGCTAATAATGGTAGTCATTAACTTTTTTTATTAATATCTCTATCTTCTACCTTATTCATGCCCAATCACTATGCTCAATTATTCCAATGTACACCCATTGGTTGCCCTCTAATTTTGTATGATCATAAATATTCATCAAATAATAGAAAATAATAATAAAAAAAAAACTGACAGCCCATTCATATATACCATGATAAGTGGCACATACATATTGTTTGCCTACGACCCTTAGAGCAAACACAATGGTTGCCCACAACCATTGTAGTTATTAGTTATTTTATTAATTTCTCCATCTTTCACCTCACCTATAACTACTCTTAACCCATTTAATAAATAATGTATCCCAATAGTTAACCATAACTTTTTGGTTATACATTTTCTCTCTCCTTTTTTTACCCAACCCCACCATACAATCTCTCTCTTAAATCCTATCATATATAACTAATGCACTTGGTAATAATCAATCAAAACTAATAAATATACATTAACATACATTAATTAGATAAAATGACTTATATTTAAAAATAATGCATTTTGAGATTTAATTAGTAAGTAATTAGTCGTTAATTAAGAAATAAACAATAATTGCAACTTTACTAAATTCCATAATAATAAAAATAATACATATTCTAACGAATCACAACAGTATTTCAAAGATAACAACGAACCGTGATTAAGTACAAACACAATAATTTAATGTTACGATTACACATCCATTAACGCATATTATTTGGCCTACTATTAACACCGAATTTGAGCCACATATGTTCCACTAAGTCTTTCTTCAAGGCTTTATGCATAGCTTCATCACGAACACGAGCTCTATTAGACATGTTATATTCCAAACTTGCAATTCGGTTGTTGATATTTTGGAACTGAAAAGTCTCTTCATTATTTCCATTACTTGAAGACACATTTGTAGCTTGATCATATTCATTTGGATTGTAATAAATTTTATATGTATCTCTTTCATCCTCAACGATCATATTGTGCATAATGATGCACGCTATCGTTATTTTTCCTAACATTGATGCGTCACAAGCTAGCGCAGGATTTCGTATTAGTGCAAAACGAGCTTGTAGTACTCCAAAAGCACGCTCAACATCCTTTCGTCTAGCTTCTTATACTTTGGCAAAAGACCTTCTTTTTCATTTTGTGGTAGTGATATTGTAGGAATGAATGCTTCCCATTTAGGATATATACTATAAGTGAGATAATACCCCATATTGTATTGGCGGTCATTCACAACATAGTTAATAGAAGGTGCACGACCATAAAAACATCGTTAAATAAAGGGGATCTATCAAGAACGTTAATATCATTACGACTACCTTGTGTCCCAAAAAAAGCATGCCAAATCCAAAGATCATATGATGCCACAGCTTCCAAGATTAATGTAGGTTTACCTAGTCTTCTAGAAAACATACCTTTTAATCGAAGTGGACAATTTTTCCACCACCAATGCTTGCAATCAATAGAACCTAACATGCCCGGAAATCCTCGACGTTCACCAATTCTTAGTAGTCTTACCAGATCTTCTTCATTGGGCTTTCGAAGGTATTCATCACTGAAGTAAGAGACAATTCCTTCCACAAAATGTTATAATAAATCTCTTGCAAGAGATGCACTAATTCGAATGTAGTCATCCACGTAATCAGCAGAGGTGCCATAAGCTATTAGCCTCATAACAACTGTGTATTTTTGCAATGCAGAGACACCAAATCTTCCTGTAGCATATTGACTTTGTTGAAAGAAGGGATGGCGTTCTTCTAAAGTTTGCTTTATTTGGAGAAAGATATGTTTGTTCATGCAAAATCTCTGACGAAATAACTATGGAGGGAACACAGGATGGTCAGCAAAGTAGTCATTCCATAAACGATGTGTCCATCCTCACGATCCCTTGGAACGGGGATCCTTGCTGCCCATGGAACTTGATTTAACATTTTATATACTTTAATTGGATTGGACATAAGAACTACTTCATCCATCATTCGGTCAACGAAATGATTGGCTTGTCTTCGTCTTTCATATCGTTGGGTTTGGCTATTTTCTGAGTTGGAATAGGAATTAGAAGAGTTGGAGCTTTCGTCGGATGACATGTTTTTAAAACCAAAGTTGATATGAGAATGGAAGGTAGAGGTTTTAGCTGGGGAAAAAATGGATGGTTGATTGAGTGAAATGCATCTCATCCATCTTATAGAACAAATGTGTATGGTATGTAGTCATCTTTATTGTCTTATATGATAAATTTGAAGTCTTGCATGCATGCATGCATTCAGAAAGTAGTTAATAATTTTTCAATAATGTAGATGCATGCATTTGTATTGTCACTATCACCTTAGCATTGTTATGTTCGTTAAAGCAAAGTAATGTTATTGTTTCCTTTTCAGTGTTAAGTACATCGGTGTATAGTATTTTTCACCATTACCTTTTCAATGTTAAGTACATCAGTGTCTAGTATTTTCAATATTTGCTTTTCAGTGTTGGGTACATCAATTCTTTTTCAGTGTAATGTAAATCAATGTACATCTTTTGCAGTGATATATCAAAGTGAATTAATAGGTTTAGTCAGATCAATAATAATTATATGTTAATACATATAAAGTGTAATGTATTGAATAATATTAATACGCGTATAATATGATTTTAAGACGGGACATGTAATTAACTTATTTTCTTTTATTAATAATTACATTACAATATAACATTCATTCATATCCTAAATCAACAACACATTAAAAATTGCCAAATTAGAAACCAGACCTTAGTACATAAAACAGAAAATCAAAAAAGAAATTATTAGAAATCAATCAACATTAAAACTATAATCAACCATACACTAATACATCAGTCTGAGGAGAACAACTTCTTCAACAAATTGCTCCTTAGTTATTTTCTTTGAATCGACGTGTTTAAATCGACGTTTCCGAAGATAAGTTTGGCTTTGAATCGACGTGTCTAAATAACTCCATATTAATTTTTCTTTGCTTCCTTGCTTCTTTCCCCCTTTCTAGTTGCAACCTTGTAAGGTCCACTTGATTTTCATATTGCCTTATAAGGTTCATGTTGTGGGCAGTGTCCAACCATTGCTGTCATGCTCCAAGTGGCATGTTTGACAACTTGCTCTTTCCTTTGTTTTTGCTAGATTCGTTGCTACGAAGAGAAGCCTAAATACCCAATACCACCACTGGTTGGTGTTTCTGGGTTGGATGAAGATGAGTTGTTGCCATCTTCATATATTGATACGTGATATCTTTGAGTCACTTCCTTGAGTGGATGTCTTTTGCTTACATTTTTGAACAATATCTTCACTTGGTTTCCACGTATCATGTTGTATCAAGATGTCCCAAACATGCTTGTCTTGAAAGGTTTTAGACATCAATGGTGTCTTTGTTTTGTCGGCAGCATATATTGTATGCTACGTTCATAACATCTTCATCATTTTGACCACTTCCCCTTCTTGATTCAGCATGAGCATATGAACCACAAAATTTAGAACATGAAGCATTGATCCTTCTCCAACGGTTTCTAAGTTGCTCTGTACCCCTCATTTTCAACAAATCTTCTCGTGTTACCCCGTCAGTACCTTCTTTGAAACATCTTTGTTTGTATAGTCTAACATTATTATACATTTCCTCAATTTTCCTCCAAAAAAATTCCCTTTTTGGTTAGTGTTAGTTTTTTTTCTTTTTTTTTTTATTTTTTATTTTTTATTTTGACTAACCTCAAGCCAAGCCTTCACAAGAACCACTTCTTCAGCTTTTGACAAAAACTTTGTTTTTCCATCTGGATTGCCTCCTTCATGACCTCTTTCATTTTCTTCGACGTCTTCAACTTTTGCTTCATTGTTGTCATCTGTTGCGTTCGATGTGTATGAGCAATCGAAACTCGGAAATGAACCATCACCTTGTGACATAGGAAAATGTTGAGACATAGAAAATGTTGAATCACCTTGAGAGATTTGAATATTCTCAAAAGACGGGATAACATTTTGAAAATATGAATAATTAGGATTTTGTAGTGGTTGAAAAGGAAAAGAAGTGAAAGTACTTGGATTTGAGAAATCGAGATTTTGTGAACCATAATTTGAAAATTGTTGAAAATTTGTATCTGAATCTGAGTTGAGATCAATTGGAAGGTTAGAATAGTAAGGTTGAAGATTTGGATTACTTTGGGGTTGTGATGAGTTTTGAGATTTTGTGGGGTTTTTTTTTTCTATTGGATTTTGGAATATTCATCTCTACACAATTTAATTTACAAGAGAGTAATATTCACTTTCATAAAAGTTGTTTCAAAATACCACAATTTAATTTACAAGAGCCGTTGGTATTTTTTTTTTTTAGAAATGTATTTTAAAAATTATGGCTGTTACAAAAATTACAACGGTTATAAATTCGGAGTAAATCTCAGCCGTTGATCAAATAAATGGGTGTCACATTCTCCTTCTGCCACATCACCAAGGACAAAAATTAAAACCAAAAAGTGGCTATTTTTTTAATCAATAACCAATCTTCACAACCGGTTACAACAATAACCTGGTTACATGATTTATTTCCCCAAAATTTTCTCTCTCCTCAATTTTTAATTATTTTTCCACTTTTTCTCTCTTAATAACCATGCATCATAGTTATTCGTTGTGTATGCTCTTAGCCAAAGGTCATGGCCATGACCTGGTCATTAGATTTCTCTCTCCTAAAGTATCATTTTTAGATTTTTTTTTAATTACTTTTCCTTTTTCTCTCTCTTGATGCTCACCTTAAATGGGCAACCAATGAGGATGCTTTTAGTTAATAGACTCTCTATATCTCTCTCCTATTACATGAGTCTATTTTCTTTATTCTCTATAATTCTCTTATCTCCAAAAATTGCCTAGGAGTTTGCAATTTACAAGTGATGCAACTAAAAAAAATGGAGGAAGTAGAAAATATAGAGAAAGGAAGGAAAAAAGAGAGCGAAGGAGAGAGGATATATCTTGTATAGATGTATGTTGTTGGAAGCTTGGAAGGGAGTACATTAATTAAAACTCTTTAATATTTTAATTAAAGAATACGTAATTTATCTATTATTTTTTTATAAGATAAAGACAACATCAGGAGAAATTCAAAAGTTAAGAAAAAAAAAATAATAAGACAAATGAATAGTTAGTTTTACGAAGTAGAAAAATAACACACCTAAAAAAGTCGGTAAAAAGCAAAATTTTGACATGGTAGGACAAGTAGGTAAATCCTAATACTACATACATACAACTAAATACAAGTTTCTCAATTGAGAAACCTTATATGTTTCTTAAAGGGTTAAATATGACTTTTTAGCCAATAAAATAGGGATAATAATGTAATTTTATGATTTTTTTTCCCTCTCCTCTTTCTCTCTCCTCTAGCTATATTCCACCAGACCACCACCATCAACACTCCCCACTGCATGACCACCACTGCTCCGTCGCTCCAACCCACGACATAGCATCGTCTCATCTCTCCAACTACCCGGGGGTTAGCAAATACCTTTCCCTAACGGGATTAGTATTGGCCTAATTTACATATTTTGCTAGTAGAGTATCTTTTGTTCGACTGGCTTTCCGTCGCGAAGCGATGATCCATTGAAGCAACTTTTGAGTTAATTATCGATTTTTCAATCTCAAAATCTACTGGCTTCGTCGTCGGAAATGGCCGCCGAATGGTTGGTTGGGGTTGGTTTATGTAGTGTTGTTGGGTTGTTGACTTAGATTTTGGTGAAGAAACCGCCATTGTTACATTGAGAAAGCAAGAAGGAATGAGGAGGAAGAAAGGAAGGAAGAAGAGGGGTGAGTCAACAACTAACATTTGAGAAACATCCTATATATGTTTCTCAATTAAGAAACCGAGGCTTGCTCTCAAGGGCTTCTAACACGCTTAATTAAACGGGTCAACACGATAAGATCTGTATATCAAATGGGTCGGGTTAGCGCTGATGTTCCCCAATCTGCTTAATTTTCGACACGAACACGACACGATTGCCAACTCTATTTGTATGCTATGATTCGGGTCATACAAATGACCCATAATAGACACCAAAAGAATCTATCTATAATCTATAATAATATTATTAAAACTCAAAGAGATAACATGGTATCGCTATGTGTCAACATTCATTTGATATATTTGGCGCCACATGAGCAATGACATGTCAAGTCCTATTCATCTATACTAAATACAGTACCAAAAATCAATGCAATAATGCAAATTTATGATTAAGTTATAACTTGAACCACTAAACTTAAGAACGACATTTACAATTAGAGGTGTACACAAACTGGCCCGCACTAGAAAACCGACCTGAACCGCACCTGTTTGGATCGGAATGATTGAATTCAGGTCCGGTCCTGATCCTTAAAAATCCATGACTCTGAGTTTTCGTTCCGGTCCTGGTAAAAACCTGAATTTTCAGGTCCAGACATGAAACTGGTAAAGCTGTGTATTTTTTTATTTTTTTATTTTTTTTATTTAACAGGTCATATCAGGTCAAAACAGGTCCATATCAGGTCTAAACAGGTCCATATCAGTTCTAAACAGGTCCATAAACAGGTCTAAACAGGTCCAAATAGGTCCATATCAGGTCTAAACAGGTCTATACAGGTCCATGAACAGGTCTATACAGGTCCATAAACAGGTCCAACAGGTTTTTTATTTAAAAAATAAAAAAAAAAGACGAAACAAATTAATAATCAGGTCTATTCAGGTCCAAACCTGTTGATTCAGGTCCGATCTCCGGTCCTTGAAAATCAACGATTCAGGCCAGGTCCGGTCCGGTTTTGGACCGATGTACAACCCTATTTACAATCAAACTATCTATGCTTCTTAATACTTATTGTGCTTAATAGAATGATTTTAACAACATGTTGTAGTTTTTTTAATTTGACAGAAACGCTTCTAATTTCACAACTTTGCACTTCTCAATATATTTATTGTTATATTATGTATTATTCAAATTAGTAAGCAAACATAAATTCATTTTTTTAGTTACAATTTTTTCGTATTGGGCATCAAATATTCCCACCATAAATTTCTTATCTTATCAAATTGAGAAATTAAACCGTTAATATTGAATTTAAATAAAATAATTATAATCAAAATACAAACAATGCCCCAAAACATAGCCCGGACAAAAAAACTAATTATACTTGAAGAATGGTTACCGATTACGGATTTATGGACTGTTTAATTTAACAAGTTGTTGAAGTCATTTAATTGAGTGAAAAATCTAATACTAGTATGAGTAATTCAGTAGTATGGTTGTATGATTGTCTGGTTGAGCTTCGTGTTACAAGTTTCAACCAGAAAACACAAATTTATATTTGAAACCAAACAAAAATGGCGTAAGCAGGTCAATTTTGCAACCATCATCTCAGCTTCTCCCCCACAAATTCCACCCATTTCCTTACTTTCGCTTTCACTCTACAATTATTTACCCTTATTTTCAAACTTCAAAGTTTCCAACTTTCAGCAAGAATTTGCAGCTAAATCAATGGCGATTATGGCTTTCAAGACATCAACCTATTCCTCTTATGGCCGCTTACCTTTCTTTCTCTCTCCTCCTCAGGTTTCTCCCTCTCTAAATTCATAATTGGACCCTTCATTTATGTACAAAGTACTATATTTTTGGGTCTTTACTGTGCTTAATTTCACGGGGTTTTGATGTTATTTACATTCTAGACTTGCATTATAAATTTCTTGTATCTTTGTATTGTAGGTTTGTGCTTGAATTCAAAAACTCTTTCTGGGTTATTTAAGGTAGTAACTAGTATTATGAAATATAAGAATTGGGATTTGGGAGTAGGTTGATGTTGGTTTATTATTGGATTTTAGAGCAAGGAAGATTTTTGCTGGTAATTGTATCATTGTATTTTTTTTTTTTTTTTTTTGAAAGACGAATTGTATCATTGTATGAAAGCTTAAATTGTGGTTTTTTTTTTTTTTTTTTTTTTTTTTTTTTTTTTTTTTTAATTTTTTTATTACAGAAATAAGCTATATCATGTGTTGATTTTGGAACTGTGTATGGAATCATGTAATTGTCAGTTTAAGCTTTATAGGATGCACATGAGTATTCCGTTTGTGTTTCAGCCCCGAAGTGGCGAGGTGTATGTGTTTAGGTGGATTCGTTGACATAATTAGTCAATTTGGATGTACTGTCATTACTGTGAATTTGCACCATAGCAAGCTAACATCAAGTTGAGTTGAGTGCAATAGTTGACTATAAAATTGATAATGTACTTGTAAGTTCCCCCTTGTTTGGTCATATGAGTGGAAACTTATAAAACTTTATATACATGTATCTGTTGTCTTTGTGATTGAGATACTAGCTTGGAATGTAAAGTGTTTCTAGGATCAAATTGTATTATCTTGCAAACTACTCAAAGATATGATATTGAAATCCACATTTGTCATGAATTACCATTTATGACATTAAGAATACAAAATTTTTGCTTGGATTAACGTTTGAAGAGAATCTATACCAATCATATGAGTATGTAACACTTCAATTAGTCTTTGGGAAATATGTGCTTTGAACCTTTACATTGTGTTTGGGTTGAAGGATTTGGAGAGAAAAGAAAAGAAGGGGTATTCCATTGTTTGGATAGTACATTAAGACTCAAGAGGGTGAGGGAAAGTAGGGGAAAGGAATGGAAGGAAATTATGTTTTGATATCTTCTGTTTCGACTAAGTATGGAAATTTAGAGAAAAGATTATAAATTTAGATAAACTCGACTTTGATTAGCTGTTTTGATAGAAGACTTGTGATCAGAACAATTTCTTGAAGCTACTTGGGTTTTCTTCCTGTAATTTGCTCTTCTTTTGTTTTGCAATCAAATTCTACTTTCTGATTCTCCATCTTGGCTGCAGTTGACTACTACATGTGTCTCCACATGGTCCAAGAAGCTCCCCTACCACCCCCGTCGCATGATAGTTTTTTCTCAGTATTCACAGACACAAGATCTTTTTACATCACGTCTTCAGGGTATCTTTCCTTCTCTTTACTTAACATGTTGTCCACTTCTGCTTAGTTCTACAACTTCTTCCTGTCTCTTTTTGTGAATGTTGTTCATCATAAACTCATAGTTTTTTTGGCATTTTGTTATGCTCCACTTTGGTGCCAGCATTCTAATACTGTTAAATAGCATACATTAAAATTCTCCTCAATTTTGATATAGACTTTTAAATTATGGCTAAGGACATTGTCCAGGCCTAGAGTTAAAAGACATATAAATGAAATTATCAGATTACAGGGAGAATGGATCGATTTTTTTTTTTTTTTTTTTTTTTTTTTTTTTTTGGAGATGTGTCATACTCCAACCCCGGAGAAAAAACAGGCACTGAGTGAGAGGGAGCATTTCAATAAAGAGGGGGGGGGGGCAATAATAGCAGAAGATAGATCTGCACTGGAGAAGAGTAGATTTTGTGGTTGTAGTGTGTAATTAAGACAGATATTTGCAGGAAGTAGCATGTTAACTATGGCAGTGCAAGCAGAACTGGATGGTTGAAGGGGCCAGGGGATTTTGCTCTGTTTCATCATGTTCTTTTTCTAGAGTTTCTATTATTATTAGGTAGAATGGTTGCCATTTAGCTGGAACTGCAGGGGAGTGGTGGAAAACAATGAGGTGGTGGTAAAGGCAGGCATGGAATATGGTTATGCAGATATTTAGAAAAAGATATGGCATAGTGTATGTCTCTCTGACTCTTACCAAATATCTCTAAGACTTCTTCACAAAACTTTAAAACCATTGTAAATTTCTTTGTGATCAACTGTTATAATTAGTATGGTTTTTGCTGGATACGCCAGTTTTTGGGGACTTAAGGGGATGGTGGGTCAGGGGAGAGGGGAGGGTGGGTGGGAAGAAGTGCAAAACAATGAATAATCTAGGAGTCAGATGTGCTCCTGTGCCTGTACTGTGCACCTGTACCAAGGCTGACTTGTAAGATTTTAAGAATGTGTCTTACTGTGCATCTCTGGTTAGAGTGATTACTTAGCTTGCTCTAGAAGACCTCAATTTATGTAGAATAGCTGATCAAGTATGTTTGGTCATGACATCATAGTTTCAATTGTTTTGGTGTCATATTATTTGGTCTATAGACTATAAATAGGTTAGTAATTTTTGAATGCACAACCTGATCCTGATACAGGCACTCTCACCAAATTCTATGCCCCTCATGTATAGATTAATAACGAAGTACTCATCTTCTTTTATGCCTTGTGTTAGATTTGATTTTATGTCTTGTAAAGATGTGGTTGTTAATATGGTCTATTTATCAAATATTAGTACTCCCTTCGTTATAATAAGTGTTACACATACCAAATGCGGCCGTGTTTTAATAAGTGTTACACTTCCTTTTTTGGCAAAAAGCTACATTTTAATATTATATCTTTCCTCTCACATTCATTACTTTTTAGTAAACTATTAATCTTACTATCTTTCTTTTACAATTTTTTAATACTCCAACTACCCCACTTCTTATTTTATTTAAGTCAATTAAATTGCCTAAAACTATGTGCCAGTCAAAGTATTAACACCTATTAAAACGCGGAGGGAGTAGTAAACTTTGTTTAGCAGCCAGATATGAGTTTGACATATGATGCTAGGGTAATGTAAGAATGTTAGTGTTGCACGTGGTGTTTATTCTTCACATAAAGAGTCGTATACTTGATTGCAAAAATGCAAACTGTTATGTTAATCCTAGATTTTATTATGTTTTCCATTTCTCTATAGAACGTATCCAAAACCTGCCAAGGCTTGTTGAGGATATAGTCCAGACATCCATAAATACTGGTCCTCGTGGAGCCTTAAGATTAGCTCAAGGAGTCCAAGCAGTTGTTGGGGTGGGGGGTGAATGGCTAGCAGATGTCTCAAAGGTACTGTTACTGTGTGCTGTGATCTCATAGTATTACATCCTTTTTTAAAAAAAAATTGTAAAGTGCACTTGCTCTTTACAAATTGGTCATATCAATAATCCAGGAAACTAATGCTTTTTCACTCAATGTAGTGGACAAATACATCAGCTGGATTACCTCCTGAATTACAGCTGGGTTTGGTTTCTCCCTTCTATCTGAGAAAATTGTTTGAACGCTTAGGGGCAACCTATATCAAATTGGGTCAGGTATGGCAAGGATAGTACATCTATAAGGCTGAATATTACTGGTTATTCTCTCATACGTCACGTCATTCTCTATCTGCTTATTAAGATTATTTAATGCATCTCTTTTTCGCTCTGTGTTGTGAGTTGTGACGAGCCCTTTTCCTGAGCTATGATATTCATCTTGCTTAGTTTGTCTTTTAATGTTTAGTTCATAGCATCTGCACCTACACTGTTCCCTCCAGAGTATGTTGAGGAGTTTCAGAAGTGTTTTGATCGAGCTCCTGCAATTCCGTTTGAAGAAATCAAAGCAATTTTGAATGAAGAACTAAAGAGGCCGATTGATAGTGTCTATGAATATATTGATCCAACACCCCTTGCATCAGCCTCAATTGCACAGGTTCTATTCTTCTCTTCTTCTGCCAGGCTAATTTGACTAAAGACAAGTAACAAAAGTACAGAGTTATGTCCCCAGGTTCATGGTGCCAGGCTAAAAGGCTCTCAAGAAGATGTTGTCATAAAAGTTTTGAAACCTGGGATAGAAGATATATTAGTAGCTGATCTGAATTTTGTCTACATTGTGGCTCGCATTCTCGAGTTTTTAAACCCGGAATTCAGCCGCACTTCACTGGTAATACATAGAGCAGTTTTCTATCATTTTGCAGCTTTTGATTCTAGTATTTGTATCAACTTGATCATGAAAGAGTAGAAGTCTTTGAAGTTGTCCTAATGATATGTGGCTGGGGCTTAATGTAAAACATAATAGGCTGATCCTGGTTAAAGCATCATTAATTTCTTCCTGTTTTCTTGTATTTAAGTTGGAGGTGCTTTTATATGGTTGCTCTTTCAGTAGTTGTTTTTGCTAATATTATAACAGAGAATATGATCTAGTGAATTTTATTAATTTTTTTTTAAAAAAGACAAGCACTCTGTAAAGCTAAACAAGGTGTGGATAATAGGGGTCTAATTTATGATGCTTTGACTTGATCTAATTATTTTGGCAACCATAAGGGCTATAAGTGACTATTGTTAGGCTAGCAAGACAGGAGAGGTGGTAGGCCTGCTAGTTTCACAGGTCTGCTCCTTGCTTATGAGGTCCTTTTACCTGTCATAATTCTCTGCTTTAAGTTGGTAATATCCTCAATTAATCTCCCTTTGACACTTCTATTATTATTTTTGACACTGCTATTAAAATGTCTCTTTAATCTATTTATTGTTTTACTCTATTCCGAGTGACCCTGTTAAGATACCATCTACAAGTCTATAACATCAGATAAATTTTTTCATGTTCTTTATAAGTTACAAATATTTGACTTGTAGGAAACGATTTGTTTATGTTCATGAAACAGACAAGGACAAGTACCCCGTATTATTTAAGACGCTATCAGATAAAATAGACCTTTGTCAAACTCAAATGACTGCATGGAAACACCTGGCTGTTACCTTTCATATACCACATGTCTCAACTTCTCATGTTCCTTGTCTTTGTATGCTCTCTTCTCATACTTCTGGTCACTTGTGGAAACTATGTATGCATAATCTACAAATGCTCACTTTGTAGACTACTTAGCCGAGTTTATGTTACCACTTCAGATTCAGAAGACATGATTTTACAGAATTTATAGCTAAAGTTAAAACATCTCTCAAAGCAACAAAGGCACTAGTAACTAGACTATGTTATGATATGTAATACTAGAATTAGCAACTCCTTGCTTCATCAAATTTCTTGGTTTTTATATCATGGATTATCTCTTTCTGCAGACTGAGCTTACTGTGTACATTTCTCTCCTGTCTTAGGTTGGTATTGTTAAAGATATTAGAGAATCAATGCTTGAAGAAGTTGACTTCAGTAAGGAGGCTGCAAATATTGAGGCCTTTAGAAGGTACCTGGACACTATGGGACTCACTAGGCAGGCTACAGCTCCAAGAGTATACTACCATTGTAGCACCAAGCGAGTTTTGACAATGGAGAGGCTTTATGGAGTTCCTCTTACTGACCTAGACTCCATTAATTCCCTTGTTTCCAGTCCTGAGACTAGTCTAATAACTGCTCTTAATGTCTGGTGAGATTTCTAACAATCTTAGTGAGCTCCACTTTCTGCATTTAGGATCTAAGACTATTTCTGAGACTCACTTTGCTCATGTCTTTGCAGGTTTGGCAGTTTGCTTTCATGCGAATCTTTTCATGCAGATGTGCATGCTGGTAATCTGTGGCTGCTACGTGATGGCCGTATTGGATTTCTTGATTTTGGTATGCATCTTTTCTGAAGTTACCAAGTTAACATCTACATTTTGTTACTATTCATATTGAACAGATTTTTTTTGCCTATCATTTTCCTTCAGATGGGAGTTAAAAATGTGGTTGGGTAATGGAAATAATTTGGTTTTTTCAATTGTAATTTTGTTGAAAGCTTTGGCATCTCAATCATTGATTAATAAAGTTGTTGCAGCTAGTGTTGGATATTATGAAAGAAAAGGATAAAGTGGAAGAGCAGAGATAACAAAAGACTGCTTACATTGTCAATTCATCCTCTTTTGTAAATGTGCTACCACATAGCCAAATTAATAGTCCATAAACTAATAAGTTAAAGATAAGCAACTAGAGAAGTAGGGTACATTCCCTACTCTGTATTTTCATGTTCTCAATTACTACTTCTATTCCTTTTTGTTCCTCCCATTTGGAATCAGGGAGTAAAGAAAAATGAATCTTGATTAGTGAGAAACAATAAAAGTATAATAAACATTCTAATTTTACACTAAATAGTCCCACTTTTTTAAACAAACAAAAAAATTTATGAAAAAGAAAAAAAAAAGTAATTGATGTGGTGTTTGGGGAGAGAAAATGATGATACAAATTGAAATCAGATATTGGGAAATTCAATTAATTGAAAATGTATAAAGAAAATTGTGTAGAAAACAAAATAAGGTTTCACCAAATAAATCAAGGAAAATAGAAGGAAATTTTTCGTATATGGAAAAATTCTAAATGGGAAGAAAATTTTTGAACCTTCCTAATTGAGAAATGGGAAGAACAAAGAGGATCGGAGGGATTAGAAAACAATAATGGTATGCCTTTAATAATTTGGAATCATAAGACCCACTTACAAAAGCATCAACTAATACTCCTAAATATATGATCCATCAATCCACAAAGAAACTACTTCCAACTGCTACTCCTTTGTTTATGCTTGTAGAATCTTTATTTATTTGAGTAAATGATAAGTTTACTTTCTATCGGATTCTGTGAAAATACCTGTTTTGTTGACATTCAGTTATCACCTATGACTAAGGTACACTGCGCTAGTATCTCCTTAATGGCAGTATGGAAGTGTGTAGACGTTTTAGTGTAATTTGAATTTATTTATGTGTATTGTTTATATGCAAGCCTTTCCTCTCCAATTGCATCAATTATTGTGTCATGCACTATGCCTCCGTTCTTTGATGCAAAATGCTTCTGTATTTCATTTGGGTTTATTTCCAGGTATTGTAGGTCGTATATCTCCAAAAACATGGGCTGCCATGGAAGTGTTTCTTCAATCTATTGCAACAGAAGAATATGAATCAATGGCATCAGCTTTGATTGAAATGGGTGCGACTAACCAGAATGTGGATACTAATGCCTTTGCAAGAGATCTTGAAAAGATTTTTTCCTCAATACAGGTTGGTAATACTAAATTACTAATATGTCCTCAGTTTCCAGTGGACTTTGTTGGCTTCCGACATTTACTCTTAGATCTTAGCATTACTTAAATTATTAAAAGTAGAAATGTGCACATTGATGAGTACCCCTACTATATATTGGCAACTGTTACACGATTCCGTTTGTGGAGCCTGCTTTGTACTTTCCCCCCTTCATTTCTTTTTACATTTTACCAATAACTCCAACCATCATCCCTGTTATAATTACACAACAATGACAATTTGATCTGTAAAGAATTGATATTGTGCTTTCTGTGAGAATCAAATGTAAAATTCGCAAAAGTCCGTAGAATTATACACATGATTTTTTTTTGTCCATTTCTTTATTGCAGGATTTAGATACAGAAATTGTCGTTGCAACAGCAAGAGGGCCAAGTACAAATACAACTGCTGTTGCTGCTAATGTGGTTGTTGATGAGAGGCAGATGAATGCACTATTTCTTGATCTAGTAAGTTATTTTTTTGGTTTTGTTCTAGGACGAGATTCATTGTGATCTTGGGGGATCAACATGCTGGTTTGGGTTGCTAATTTTGAATGATGACCAATGGTTTTTTGGAGTAATGGAATAATAAGTTACATATGCTTTAGCCATTCATGGGTTTAGTACTGTGCTAGTTAAGTTGGTTTCTTTTGTTCTACAAAACTTATATATTCTCCTCCTTGGGAGATTTATCTTTATGCTGTTCATTCCTAGTGTTTTATTACTTATATTTTGTTGTTTCTGCTATTAATGAGTATTGACTTAGAATTGCTGGCCATTTCTGATAAAGTGTTTCGGAATATTTTGACATTTCTCGCATTTAATCTGATTGTTTTTCTGCTTATTCACTGTATTGAATTTCAAAAAAAACTCGGGTAACCATATAATATTTCAATTACGATACAATCATATCAATACAATTGTAAGTAAATTCGAAGTAAATATTATGAAGTATGTATTAATTTTGCTTTTATCACCCGGACACATTTTGCCCTTTAATCTAGTGTTATTATGATTTGAAATGCCTAAAAAACTCCTAGATATTTTTGTGCAAATTATTGGCACTTCAAGTTCTTTCACTGGAGAACTAGGTTTTCTGGCATTAAGTCATGATATGAACATTTTAAGCAATAATTCTACTAGATTTCCAACTTGAATTTCAAGCTGTGTTTTGCATCGAAAGCAATTTTTTTGTGCAAAAAACTTTAGTAGGCTATCTAGTGGATAATAACTAGCAAGTTTAAATGTGTTTTGCAGGTACGGGTGAGTGAGTCATATGGACTAAAATTCCCTCGGGAATTCGCCCTTCTGTTGAAGCAACTTCTGTACTTTGATCGATACACTCGTTTGCTGGCTCCCAATATGAACATGCTACAAGACCAGCGAGTCACTGTTGTCTCAAATAGAAGAGCTAGCAGCAATAGAGGTAGATTCTAATAGGAAGTGTGCACTATCCTTATATATATACTTGGATATCATCTTCTGAGCACACACTCGAGCAGCTTTTGCTCGGGTGATTTGATGAAAAAGCATATGCATATCCAGGGAAGCAATGATATGATCTGTAATAATCTGAATGAGAAATTTTTTGTTAAAATGTAAATATAAATAGAAAGAGTTCCATGCATGAATAGCAAAATACATATTTGCTGTGTTGTAGACTTGTAAAATTCTCAGTAGAATTTTTGTATAATCTTGTACTATACAAATTGCTTTTTAAATTTAATGTATAAACAAATACAGACCTTTGTTAAAAAGTATCTAACTGTGCATTTAATATTCACTTTAATCCACAAATTTTGTTTTCATAATTAATTCTTGATTTTTCAAGTTAAAGCCCCTTTATGTGCCTAAATGGGCTTGTTTGACAATTGGTTGCTGGCTACTTTGCTGTTTCTCTTGGCTAGTCTGATCAATTGTTTGTATTGGCTTTTTATGTTGGCTATTTGACGATTGACTTTTAAATAAATATGTTTAATAAAGTTAGTTGTTGGGATAGATTTGTAATTATAAGTATAAAAGGCAATAGTCAACACAAAAAAGCTATTTTTACTAGCTTTTGGCGGAAAAGTCAATTTTTTAGCCAATAAAAACTCAAATAATTAAACATATATATTGGTTGCTTGACCACATCTAAAAGGCAAATACCATTTAAAAAACCAATTGTCAAACAAGTCCAATGTCTCTTAAATTTTAAATGAGAGTTTAATGCTTGTCTTGTTGACATTTAGAAGGATGATAAATAAGTCAAAAAAAATTGAAAAAAATATATAATAAAAGAGTGAAGTGAAAATTTGCGAGTTATTTAGTTGACAAGTTCATAGAAAGTGTTACCTAGTCTGCATTAGTAAATGATTTTCCTTTAGCAAGGTTAATTTCATATGATTAACCAAACAACACATAGGAACTACGGAGTACGTGGGAAAAACTTCTCGTAAAGTATCGAGGTTACTTCGTTAGTGTTATAAGGGTTACTTGGTCGGTGTTACAGGAGTTACTTCGTCAGTGTTATAAGGGTATCCAGTTAGTGTTAAAGGGGTTACTTCGTCGGATTACTCAGTCAGTATTATAGGGGTTACTTTGTTCTTTTACAAGCGGCCACATGATATGGGCTAACCACACACAAGATGGGCTGGCTCTATTCACCCGATTTCACTTATCTGAACTTAACTGATCTTATGAAAACTTATTTTAGTTGTAATTTGAACTTAGGTAACCCTTATCAGAACTTATTTTTTCCTAAACTGAACTTATCTAAACTTATTTTTCCTGAACTGAATTGAACTTATCGTAACTTATCTAAACTTATTAGACGTGAGATAAGTAAAAATAAGGTGAACAGAACAGGCCCTTAATCACAATATCAAGCCTTCTTTGTGCCACATACAGCAAGAAGCCAACAAGACTTTTGTACACAATTTCATCATCTTGCCTCAATTTTTTTTCTTGCTGCCATTGCTTTAATTGGCTGATGAGTTGTAATCATTTATATGGAAACCTTTTTAGTAGCGCAGGTGTTGGAACATACTTTTCTTGCAAGATAAGAACCTTCTCATCATTTATTTGGTCTTTTGTTCTTCAATTATTTCAATTTCTTCAGCTCAGAAAAGCTGATAGGAAATTCACAATCATCATTAATGTTAGTTTTGTGCTTCCTGTCTTGAAATTACCATAGCAATCTAAAGGCCAACAGATTCTCTGATATTGTCGTCGAATAGAAGATAGGGTTGTTTGTGATGGTGTTGGAGGATGCCAAAAGAACTAGAATAGTTACTGATGCATAGCTAAGAATATACTTCATCCGTTCTAGTAATATTGCAACAAGTGGACTTTTACACTATTCATCACGCTTGTTTGATCACCGCATATTATGATTTATACATAAAGTAAAATATAGTTATGTGGGGTCTTGTTAGATTCGTCTCGTAAAATACTTTCACAATATCAACTTTTTATAATTTTCTCTCATATAATTATACATATTTAGCATATAAAATGTGCTTTGAAATGCGTAATTTCATCCTTGTTGCAATATTTGGGGAACAGAGGAAGTACATAGTTACATGGTATGTTATAAGGAGCACCATGCATATGATGTCCACGATGAATTTATAAAATATTCATTACAAATACATATTATGCGTTTGGGTCCAATTTATTCCAATTGGGCCAGTCTACAAATGATCCAATTACAAGCCCAAAGGAGGTTTAACCCTCCCAAGCATGCCAAGTCAGTCATAGCAGGCTCAATCAACGTGGCAAGCCCAATTGGCTTCAAGGCACATTTAATCTATTTGAGTAAGATATAAAAGCCTTCACTTCTCTCTCTCTTAATTCATTCACGTAAAACCTCAAGCAATTAATTATCTTGCATAGCTTACTCTCTCTAGAAAACACTGTATTGACTTCGGCATTGGAGGGGCCTTCCTCGGTACAACCCCCGAGGCCAGTTTACGTGTGTTTGCTCATCAATTGTCTCATCTGAGAAAGCCACGCCGGAGAGATCACCTCACAACTCTGGTCAGCCGTCCAACTCTTGGCGGCCAAGCCAATCAAATGCTAAGAGTCCAACTCCTAGTCGTCATTCCTAATCTCGTCCAAGGGGGACGCCCCAAACGGGTACTACTACGGAAGAGATGGCAAGAGCCCTTGCGGTTTTCATGGACTTCATGAAGGCTCAAACGGCCTAGCAACTCCCACCTCCTATTCCCTCGGTGCACGTTGAAACCATTGAGCAGCCAAGAATCCTAAGAAGGAGGACCGATCAAGGAGAGGGAGAACGAGTTCCATCCCATAGGGAACTCGAAGAAAATTGGGAGGAGGGTAAATGGAGAACTGAACGGGAAAGATAAAGAAACCCCTAGTTCTTCAAGGAGCCCGAACCCCGAAGTTTCAAAAGCAACAACACCGCTTCCACGCGGTAAGAAACTACTCGCCGAAACGTTTACAAACGTATCGTCCCAAGGGAGGTGAGCATCCACATCCGCCTCACCTACCCTGACGAAACTCATCCCTACCCCGCACGGTCCTAGCCGAGGACAAAAACCACTTCCACCTCTCATAGGGTGGAAGCGAGGTCCCAACGGCTGAGACCAAGGGAAAGGGAAAGGTCGTGATGATTCCCTCCAGTTCCCCATTCCAAAAATGGATTCTGGAAGAAAGGGTGCCGACGGTAAAAATCCCGGCTTACATTACATATGATGGTACTTCTGACCCGAAGGACCATATTGCCTCTTACGAGAGGGCATATGTAATTGAACCCCAGGTTCGAAGCGACCTGGTGCAAATATTTTTTGACCACTCTTAAAGGTGTTGCATAATCGTGGATCACCAAAGGAGTGAAAGAAGACTCTATAATCGGTTGGGATGACCTCTCCAACAAGTTCAAGAGCAAATTCTACATGGCAAACCGTCGAGAGAAAACAACTGCAGAGTTCATGAGACTACAACAAGGGGAGGACGAAAACCTCCGAGATTACCTGACTCGCTTCAGCAACGAGTCCTCCAGAATTACAAGTCTAGATCAAAGGATAGCCATTTTTGCGCTGCGAAAAGGGCTGCAAGCCGGGAAATTCCTGGACTTCATGGTCATGCACACCTTGCAGACCCTGCAGAAAGCTCTTGATGCCTCGGATAAATACATCCGAGCCTAGGAATGGAACAAGACCAAGTGCCAATCTCAAACCGGGACTGGTAAGGCAAAAGGACAGCAGTTCGAAGGCCAAGGCTAAAGGAAAGCGAAGGCAAAAGCCTCAGAACCATCCTCGGCTACTGAGCCGAAGAAAAAGAAAACCCCATTCGTGGGGAAATACGAATCCTACACTCCTCTCGCCCTTCCGCGTGCTAAAATATACAGCATAACGAAGAACGAGGAGAAATGGAAGAAGCCGAAGCCACTACCATTGTGGCATCAAAACAAAAATAAAGACAGATGGTGTGAGTTCCATGAATCTCTTGGACATCACACAAAGGATTGTATCCAGATGAGAGATCAGATCAAGGATATGGTCCGAAAGGGGTATCTGAAAAAATATCTTGCGGATCGCCGCGAATAGAAAAAAGCCGAGAAAGACTTTCGGCAGCAACTAGACTTCAGCCAGAAGAGGGACAAGCTGCAGGATAAGGAGAATCCTGACATCCTTGTCATCTCCTGGGGGACGAGCTCCTGCAATGCTTGAAAGCGCCACTTGGGGAGGGGTTTGACCCATCAAGTCAACCATGCCTCCATCCGAGGTCCAAAGTCTCCGGTTCCGAACATCACGTTCACAGTTGAAGACTCTCGGGGGGTGGCATATCCCCATGATGACTCGCTGGTAATCATCATGGGGATCGCAAACCACAATGTCTGGTGAACCCTCGTCGACGGTGGTAGCAGGGCAAACATCCTCTTTCGGGATGCTTTTGACCAGCTCAAGCTGCAGTCTAAGGACTTAAGTCTGGTACCCTACCCGGCATCCTGATTCAATGGCTCTGCAACATATCCAGATGGGAAGATCACCCTTCCCGTCACCATCGGCAGAGACAGAGCAGCTTGGAACGTGATGGCCGAATTTTTGGTCATGGACATTCCATCTGTATACAACGTGATCATGGGAAGGCCTATGATTCACCAGATTCAAGGGGTGGTCTCCATATATCATCAGATGGTGATATATGTGTCGGACGAAGGCCACTCCGAAATAAATTAGGGGACCAAGAGGTTGCCCGAAAGTGTAACTACCTCAAGCCATCAAAAGAGCGTCGTGAAGACAAGGATGATGTAGAGAAAGAAAGAGAAAAGGACCGAAGCACCAAGAAGCAGAAAGGCTTAAGTGCTTCGGCCTAAGGGACCCCCTCCCAAGAAAAATCAAAGGGGAAAGGAAAAGCTGGCTCTTCATCCGAACCAAAAGATTCGGAAGGCCAACCGAAGTTTGGGAAGCATGCCGAAATTGACAACAGGCCGAATTGTGAAGAGTCCGGTTCCAAAGCAATGGAGCTGGACCAGAAGGCTGAATTAATTGAGTTGACCGAAGGAGACTCGGAAAAATGTGTAAGCATCGGGCTCAGACTTGATCCGAACATCCGAGTTGGACTTATCCAACTACTTCGGGACAATCGAGATGTGTTCGCTTTCTCAGCTGTAGACATGCTTGGGATTGACCCGAACCTCATCTCTCACAAGCTAAATGTCGAATTACTCCGCCAACAAGAACCGAGACATCGCAGTTCAAGTCAAGAAACTTCTGGATGCAGGCTTCATCAAACCCTGCAT